AACATGACTGAAGTATCTGGGGCTTTCAGAAAAACTCTAAAGTGTTGCAAGACTCTAGCATTGGGAGAACTGGCAACACATTTTAGTAGTATCTACATTCCATCTAAAACACATTTTGCAGTCTGCATACTTGTCTGAGCAAGAGCTTCAGACTTAGACCCTTAATTTGTATTTGTATTGATTGAAAGCAGTGGTTTTTTTGTGATGGTATGGCCCAGTACGGTGTACCGTCACCTATTTTTCCAGCATCCAGCAAAGGAATAGCATTTCCCCCCGCATGTACCGGCACCTGTTTTCCTGACTCCGCTTGTCTCCTGACGGAAGCCTGCTCAGGACACGAGGTGTTTTTTTTCCGGCTCCCAGCATGGTGTTTTGGCTCTTAAAGGGACCACAACCACATTTCAGCCCCCCTTTTTTTTTGCTCAACAAGATTGAGCCTGGAATACCAGCACCTTTTTTTCTTACAAAAAAAGCACTGATTGAAAGTATGCTATAGCAAAGTTCTTGTCAGTCATGGGTCGTGAGCAGTAGCCACCTGGAAACATATCAAGAGGGATAGCAACTAGAAAGTTGCATGTCTAGATTCTGTGCTGATCTGAGTATAGAAGAAACTTCTAGCAGGGTCTTTCAATGGAGGAGGAACCCCAAGATTTTCCCTGTTCAGACAGTTTGGCTGCATTGTTTTGTTTCATTTGAAAGAAAATAATTTTATCAAAATCTGCCATGAAGATAAAATGTTTCCATTTTGGTTTAATTTCAGTGAAGTTAGTTGCTAGCGAATCCTGAATCTCTCTCAGCAGTGTGTGCAGCCTGAACACAACCACCTTTTGTGCCACTGTCCAGTCTGGCTTCTCTAATTCAAGCCGAGGGAAATGCTAAGAAGTAAGTAGAGTGCAGAAATGTGGGAAAGGTCAATGCGGCTGTGATGGATTTGGAATGGCTTGTAATAATTTTATGAATCTCACGTGCTGAGCGGACGCTGTGGTGTTTGCTAGATACACATATGGAGTTAATTCAGCAGCAGCATTGTCAATATGGGGTGTGGCAAGGTAAATCCTGATATTCACTTCTCACGAGCACTGGAAGCACAATGCAAGAGCCATCATATATATAGTAGCCCAATGTCTGTGAGTCTGTAATGCCGAAATGCTGGCTGTTCCCTCTGGGGGGCGCTGTTGCTGAAATGCTGGCTGTGCCCTCTGGGGGGCGCTGTTGCTGAAATGCTGGCTGTGCCCTCTGGGGGGCGCTGTTGCTGAAATGCTGGCTGTGCCCTCTGGGGGGCGCTGTTGCTGAAATGCTGGCTGTGCCCTCTGGGGGGCGCTGTTGCTGAAATGCTGGCTGTGCCCTCTGGGGGGCGCTGTTGCTGAAATGCTGGCTGTGCCCTCTGGGGGGCGCTGTTGCTGAAATGCTGGCTGTGCCCTCTGGGGGGCGCTGTTGCTGAAATGCTGGCTGTGCCCTCTGGGGGGCGCTGTTGCTGAAATGCTGGCTGTGCCCTCTGGGGGGCGCTGTTGCTGAAATGCTGGCTGTGCCCTCTGGGGGGCGCTGTTGCTGAAATGCTGGCTGTGCCCTCTGGGGGGCGCTGTTGCTGAAATGCTGGCTGTGCCCTCTGGGGGGCGCTGTTGCTGAAATGCTGGCTGTGCCCTCTGGGGGGCGCTGTTGCTGAAATGCTGGCTGTTCCCTCTGGGGGGTGGGATCAGGGGCTGTCTCAGGTGGAATCACATGATTATCCTACCAGGTCCTTGGCTGCAGTACCTACGCATCAACCATTCCTGCCTTGCAGTTCCAATGGGATTTAGGATTTAATAGGTAGCAGGTTTAAAACAAACAAACAAACAAACAAAAATAAGTACTTCTTCACACAATGCACAGTCAACCTGTGGAACTCCTTGCCAGAGGATGTTGTGAAGACCAGGACTTTAGCAGGATTCAAAAAAGAACTAGATACATTCATGGAGGTTAAGTCTATCAATGGCTATTAGACAGGCTGTGTAGGAATGGTAACTCTTGCCTCTGTTGATCAGAAGCTGGGAATGGGTGAAAGGGGAAGGATCACTTGATGATTCCTTCTTCTGTTCACGCCCTCTGGGGCATCTGACCTTGGCCACAGACGGAAGACAGAACACTGGACAAGATGGACCTTTGTTCTGGCCCCTTATGGCTCTTCTTATGTTCTTAAGATCATTGTTCTGTTTCAGCAGCCTGTGACCAGTGGTATTCAGTTATTGCCATGGCCCTCCGAAACCAAAGTATGGTTTATTTTGAAGGAACAAAGCACTGGAAAAAAGGATTTTAAAAATAGCAAAAGATCTACATGCAGATGCTAATCTTATCCAGAGTCCTTCCATGCCAAAATGTCGACCTACTAGACTAAGACACCCCTAACGACCGTGTTGGGTGTTAACTGTCTCCCCTGCTTAACCAACTGTGTCTCTTTAAAACCTCTTTGATCATTTGATCTTCCTTCCCCACAGGGGGACTGATTCATTCCTAAGGAAACCAGGTCTGGCAGGGCCAACAGAGCATCTAAGCAAACTAGCCAATTAGCCCGTCATAAGACGAGATTTTCAGGTCTCTCCTCCACGTCGGTCTTCTCTCTTGAGCCTCTGGTGTCTCTCTCTCTCTCTCTCTCTCTCTCTCTCCTTCTTCCTCCTCCTCCTGCCTCCCCCTCTCTCTCTCTCAGCTCTCCTCCGCCTCCTGCCTCTCTCTCTGTCTCTCTCTTTCTCTTCTCCTCCCCCTCCTGCCTCTCATTCCGGGGATCGCGGAGCCCAAATGGCCATTTGGGCTCCGCGATCCCCGGAATGAGAGGCAGGAGGGGGAGGAGAAGAGAAAGAGAGAGACAGAGAGAGAGGCAGGAGGCGGAGGAGAGCTGAGAGAGAGAGAGGGGGAGGCAGGAGGAGGAGGAAGAAGGAGAGAGAGAGAGAGAGAGAGAGAGAGAGACACCAGAGGCTCAAGAGAGAAGACCGACGTGGAGGAGAGACCTGAAAATCTCGTCTTATGACGGGCTAATTGGCTAGTTTGCTTAGATGCTCTGTTGGCCCTGCCAGACCTGGTTTCCTTAGGAATGAATCAGTCCCCCTGTGGGGAAGGAAGATCAAATGATCAAAGAGGTTTTAAAGAGACACAGTTGGTTAAGCAGGGGAGACAGTTAACACCCAACACGGTCGTTAGGGGTGTCTTAGTCTAGTAGGTCGACATTTTGGCATGGAAGGACTCTGGATAAGATTAGCATCTGCATGTAGATCTTTTGCTATTTTTAAAATCCTTTTTTCCAGTGCTTTGTTCCTTCAAAATAAACCATACTTTGGTTTCGGAGGGCCATGGCAATAACTGAATACCACTGGTCACAGGCTGCTGAAACAGAACAATGATCTTAAGAACATAAGAAGAGCCATAAGGGGCCAGAACAAAGGTCCATCTTGTCCAGTGTTCTGTCTTCCGTCTGTGGCCAAGGTCAGATGCCCCAGAGGGCGTGAACAGAAGAAGGAATCATCAAGTGATCCTTCCCCTTTCACCCATTCCCAGCTTCTGATCAACAGAGGCAAGAGTTACCATTCCTACACAGCCTGTCTAATAGCCATTGATAGACTTAACCTCCATGAATGTATCTAGTTCTTTTTTGAATCCTGCTAAAGTCCTGGTCTTCACAACATCCTCTGGCAAGGAGTTCCACAGGTTGACTGTGCATTGTGTGAAGAAGTACTTATTTTTGTTTGTTTGTTTGTTTGTTTTAAACCTGCTACCTATTAAATCCTAAATCCCATTGGAACTGCAAGGCAGGAATGGTTGATGCGTAGGTACTGCAGCCAAGGACCTGGTAGGATAATCATGTGATTCCACCTGAGACAGCCCCTGATCCCAGAGGGGATGCACTCAGGGAGACCAGAGAGAGACAGTGGCACAGTGAGCCCAGCAATTGCTACAGAGATTTTAATTTTTTTTCCGATTCATCAAACTAAGGTGGTGTTAGTAGCACAGGGAAGGACAGTAATTGTTACAAATATTAATTTTTATTTAAGTACTACTCATTTTATCCTGACAGTGCCGCTCCAAGGATAGCCAGAGTATTTTAAGTTCTGATCCTACAAAGATTTACACCCATGCTTAACTTTAAGCTTCTGAGTAGTCCCTTGGAGCTCAAATTAAAGTTAAGCATGTGTGGAAGTCCTTGCAAAATCGAGGCTCCAAAAACACAGCCCTGTCCTGATTCTCTGCAGCGAGTCAATGGGACTTATGTTAGAGAGCAGTGGGCCCAGTACCAAGTATTTGGAGCATGGGATCTATAAATACTTGTATTGTCTTGTAAAGTGATTACCATGCGCGGCCTCTCTCCTGCCTTGTCGCTCTAAATGCACTATTGTTGTTTTTCTATTTCTTATCCAGTGAAAATTCAATAAAAATGAAGTTTAGGAAACACCAGCGGGTCAATTCCTGCCGACTAAGAAATGCCAGCTCTTAAGAAGATGAATCATATCCCTGTGGACTTGAGTCAGCCAAATCAGAGACGCATAAGATGTAAAACTGTGCTGGTCACCGAGCTCAGACAAAGTTAGCTAGGCCAAGTAGCATCTTACCACTGCAGGGAAAAGCCTCACAAATATTTTCCTTGGCAGGTATATCTTTTTCCAGCCTCTTACAAGGTGGGGATTGCAGGCACCACGTGCTGGATCACAGCTTCTCCAACAATAAAAGGCTAATTGCAAATGAAGATAGTGAAAAAGTGCACGCATCCCAGAGTGTGCGTTGATGTGGAAGCAGTGATAATTTCACGAGTGGGCCCTGTGGTTTATATTGGCAAAATGGGAAAAGAGAATCTGGAAAATATTAGGACAGGTTGCACCTCTCTAGTTTGGCACTGTCTGGCCTGGCAACATCCGTGGTCCGGTATTATATATTGAGTTACCAGATGTCCACTTATTATGTATGTGGCCAAGTTTCCCATGGTCCCATAAAGTTTGTTGACTGCCATCAGTCCTGGCTCTCCGTGTTCTGTGATTTAGCTCTAATTTACCTGAATAAAAATAGCCGCCACGTTGTGCTGGCTCAGCTGTTTGTCGGCTCAAAGCAGCAGTCAAGACGGGGATCGGTCGACAAGGAAAGCTGTTGTTGACCGATCCCTTATGCCTCATGAAACGAGGTTTACAGGAGCAGTCAACAACGGCTTTCCTTGTTGACCGATCCCTGTCTTGACTGCTGCTTTGAGCCGACAAACAGCTGAGCTGGCACAACGCGGTGGCCATTTTTATTCTAAGGGACCATGGGATATTTAAATCCCTGCTTCATTGACTATGTCGGTATGTCTCATTTACATGCCTCTGTCAGCAGAGGCATGTAGTCTAGAAATACCCACAATGACTCCAAGCATCCCTCGGAAGCCCAGAATGTTTGTGGAGTGAGTGTGAAGTGACAGAAACACAAGCATGGCTGAGAGCTTTTCATTTATAATATCGTCAGGTGGAATCTTCCCAGGTGTTCACAGGCTCTTACCATCCTATTTTACGTTCTCAGGCATTTGGGGCTCTTTTACACACATGGCTTTATGAATTACACCCATGCAAGAGAAGGGGCTTCCACCTACTAGTGTGCAGATGTAACCCACACAGCTGGTGTAGGTCATGGCCCTGTGGAGTGGCACTTAGACCCCTCGCAGTGAGAGATGAGAACAAGGGAGCTCTACAGCCTAAGCTTCACGGAGGTTGGGTCCACCAATGGCTATTAGCCAGGATGGGGAGGAATGGTGTCCCTCGCCTCCGTTTCTCTGGAAATGGGGGTATTTTTCACGCCCCGTGCTGCACTGCGCTATTAAATACTTTCTCTGGAGATGGGTGATTGGGGAGGGATCACGAGAGGATTCCCTGTTGTGATTCCTCCCTCTGGGGCACTTGGCATTGGCCACTGTGGGCAGACAGGACACTGGGCTGGATGGACCTTTGGTCTGACCCCGTCTGGCTGGTCTTCTGCACTAAGCTCCAGAGGTCCCAGGTTCAAATCCTCCCGGTGACAGTTCCAAGTGGGGGATCTCAGCTGGCTCTCTGAAGCTCTGCGAGTGCTTCCTTAGCTAGGGGAATACTCCTCAGCATCCTCCTACCAGCCGTGGGTGGGCCATCATGGCAATGGTTTAGGAAAAGCACTGTTTGCAAGAGCAGGAACGGTAGCTCGAGTATCCTGGCCCGATTCAGACCTTCTGCCCTTTCAGCCGGGTGCGACGTAGCTCCCACCGCAGTTTTCCCTGGCTGGGTGACTGTAACCGTACAGTCTCTGGTCCGTGGTAGGTGCCATGGAAACACTCGGCGTGTGAAGCAGAATCACTTGGAAACACTATGAAGTAATAAAACCTTTGGGATGAAAAGCACTCTCAACTCACACAATCCTGGCTGGAAACCTGCAGGGTATCGCCTGCCCGCCCTCCACTTACTCTCGCTCTGTACAACCGCACCTCTGGGACTGGTAGGGATGAAAGCAGCTTTTTATACTTGGAGAACGGTTGCTTTGAGTGACACGTCTGGGCTTGTGACTGTCATGCCGGGCCACTTGTGCTGAGTCATGAGCTGTCACTGAAAGGACTGCATGGTAAGCGTGTGCTTCTCGAGCCCGGGGTGGCTTTGCGCTGAGGACATAAACACAGACTGTCGCTTCCCATCTTCATCTGCCCGCATGGCTGAGGCACAGCATGGGAAATAGCGGGTTTTATAGTTGCAAGGTGTCTGTGTTTTCAGTCTGTTTGCGCACCAATTCCAGGTGTTGCAAAACAACCCCCCACCTGTTGAAAAGCGGCAGGTTTCTACTTATTGTGTGGGCACCTGGATTTCTTCTCTTTGGAAATGTGAACGTGCAGTTCTTTTGCCATGGCTTCCCTGCAGGGTTGGCTCTACCATGAGGCGAACTGAGGCGGTTGCCTCAGGTGCCAGACTGTGGGGGCTGCCACTAGGACCCAGAGTGTAGAAAATTGTGTCTGCTGCTGGTGTATATGTAGGTAGCAGAGCAGCACCATGAGAGGAGTAGACCAGGAAGAAACAGAATTGAGACCTTACAAAGTTTTGGCCAAAACGAGGGGGCGTCATCTGAGCTCCCCGCCTCAGGTGCCAAAATGTTGTGGGCCGGCCCTGCTTCCCTGGTTGTAAAAGATGGCAAGAGCTTACTGCTGTCTTAAAGCAACTACAGCACAAAGGCCCAATTGTGTATAAAGTCAGGCCATTTACTACACTGCGCAGTCACCTTGGGGAGCACTCCACTGGCTCCATTAAGAGAATTCTGTGAATTTTTTGGAAAGGACACCTTTCATTCCTATGCATATTTTGACCCTGTAGGTCCCACAGCAGGCTCTTGCGGCCTGGTGCGAGTCTTCCTTGGGAATGGATCTGTTATTTTAAAAATGAAAAGCCTTCCAGCTTGCCAGACTTGTTAGCATTACACTGAACCTGTGAAAGAGCCATTACAAGCATGTGCCAACTTGAACATATATCCATGTCTACACTATGCAGAAGATTGACATTGCCACAATCGATCTTCTGGGTTCGATTTAGAGGGTCTAGTGAAGACCTGCTAAATCAAACTCAGAGGGCAACCCTGCCAGCACTGGTATGCCTGCTCCTCAAAAGGAGTAAGGGAAGCCGATAGGAACATTTGCTCCCATCGATCCCCCCACTGTGTGGACAGTACAGAAATGTGATTTAAATTACGGCGACTCCAGCTACGCAATTAATGTAGCTGGAGTTGCATATCTTAAGTCACCCTTCCTCTGTAGTATAGACTAGGCCATACACAGTCCGTTTCTGTGTTTGCTGACAAAAACAGTTGTGCATTACTGTACTATGTCTACAGGACTTTAGTTTAAAAATAGCTTTAAACATTTCATTAGTTTCTTGCAGAAGATTATAAAATCAGATCTCTGAAAAATCCGTGCATAGATTTTTAGATGCACAATCTGAGTATTTTTAGCTTTCCATGCTTCATTCAAAGCAGTATTTGTTATCCCCAATCCTGCTAAGTCAGATAGAAACATCACAGAATGAAAACAAATGTCTAAACCTTGACAGTTAACCATGAAACACAATTGCTATCCTCATTAGTCCTGTATGTTTCCCTTCTGTGCTGAATTTTTAGGGCTACATACATCTCCTCTGGTGTTTAAACCAAAGTTGCTATATAGATTTGCACAAGGGTGTGAATCTGATTCTTTGCCCTCTCCCATCCATGTCAACAGGGACCTACGTTATTCCTCAGGTAGCACATTGTGGTGTTTACTGTCATCTGAGTCATGCACAGGATTGTGCTGTGGCCAAGCACACAGAGTACAGCTCCTTCCCCTGCTAGGTGGCTTATGTGTTGCTGTTACAAGTCATTCTAATGTGGGCGGAGTGGTCCTCTTTGCTTTGTGTCATGCGCTCTTGCTGCAGGCGTGTGTTTTCGCCTGTTTTGTTTCGATAGTATGCGATCAGGGCCAGGAAAACAGAACCCCAAGCCTCACTCACGTTGCCCCTTTGGTGACATGTAAAGAGTGGTATGCATGGAGCGCCAACAGTTTTTGATGATGGAGTCGATTGAAGTCCACTAAAATGCTGATTGCTGCATGGAAGACGTGCAAAGTGCCATTGGAGGGAAGCAGACTGCTCCCATATAGTGGGGTGTTTTTAAAAACAACCCCAGAGGTTCCTGCTAAGTGTGTTAGTTTCAGAGCAAAGAGGCCTAGTCTAAAGGGGAGAATGGGGCCTGCTAGCACCCAGGAGTGGGGGAATTATTACTTCTTATAGCTGTTTGTTCCTCTCGCCTGCAATTAAGATAAGGCACTAAGATGTGCTTTTGTTGTTTGTGGACCCTTGGGAAGACGTTTGGAATACACGGGCTTCATTAACTCTGCTGCAATTAAACTGTGAGCCTGAGTATAATGATAACAACACCTAGATCTTCATCAGGCGATCTAAAAGTGCTGTACAAAGGATGTTAGGAGCATTATCCTCATTTCATATGTGTGAAAACTGAGGCACAAAGTGACTTGTCCAAGGTTACCCAACAGGCATGTGCCAGAGCCAGGAAACCCTAGGGCTCCTGAGTCCCCATGTAGCACACTCTGTCTCCCAGGGTGCTACACAGAACTTACCCTTTGTAGAAAATCAAAATCTATTGTTTTGATAAGAAAATAATACGTGGTGGTGAACCAGCAGATCTTGCACCTAGAGGCTTGAGCAAAAGACAAAGACTGAGGCTACGTCTACTTTGCAGGCTTCTTGTGCAAGAAGCTTTTTGTGGAAGAGATCTCTTGCAAAAACTTCTTGCACAAGAGTGTGTCCACACTACAAAAGTTTTTGTGTAAGAGAGTGTCCAGACTTCATGGACACTCTCTCGCAAGAAAGCTCTGATTGCCATTAACAGAATGTCCTCCAGGGCACCTGTGCTTCTTTCGATAGGTTGTTTTTGTGCAAAAAAATCCTGTTTCCCATCCACACACACCTTTTT